TCTCCAGCACACACATCTTACACACAAAGGACACACACACACACACACAGGACAGGCTAGTTGTTCCCATCTCCAGCACACACATCTTACACACAAAGGTGATAAGAGCAATTACACTTCTTGACATACAGTGATGGGCAGGACTCACAGTGCTGTATGCACGGTACTTCATTTAATACTCTCCCAGTGTACACACAAGATACGAGAGTTCCCCACAGCTTCTAGGACCCTGACCACCAAGCTCTCTAAGAAATGCCCAAAGCCAGTAGGTGGTCTCTAATGGGGCCTAAATCCAAGCACAGGGGTCTTGAGCCTGAAGTCTGAGCTCTGATTCCAGAGCCCAAGTCTGTGTGGCTTCAGCCCACTTGTCCTCTGAAGGTTGGCATTACAATCTGCCATAAGACGGAGTAGCAGGGCCTCTCGTTTAAGCAGCCTTTGGTGGAACCAGGCAGCCATCCCTTGAGGGACACCCCTCAGTGGTATTATTTAGATTCCACAGCAATACTGCCTGTGCTGACCGTTCTCTGCTTTCTCCTCCTCCCTGCCTTCTATTTTGCCCTCCGCCCAGCAGGCCTCCTATGCTGCTTCTTCCTTCTCTGTCTCCTACTGTGTCCAGCAAACTAAAGTGGCCTTCACTCCCGAGGACGGCAGTGCCGCTCAGGGCCTCAGTGTATCCGTGTCTAACTCCTTTCTCAACCGGCACGGCAGCTTGCCTGTGCCCTCGGTGAGTCTCCCCCCTGCTCTTCCTCACTTGGAAACTCATGCAGTTAGTGCTTGAAGCCTGTGCTCCTGGATGCTGCTGCTGCTGCCTGTCACCAGTGCTGTCCTCCCACAGACCCGGTTGTCGCAGAAGGAATCTGAATACTTGCTTCCCTGGGCCTTGGGAACTGTGGTTAGTGGTTTGGGAGTGGAGGTGTGGGCTGTCCTATCTTGAACATGACACTGGCACAGAGCACAGCCGTTTCTGCCATTGCGTTCTGCTCTCCCAGGAGCCTGTGTCTGTGCTTAAGAGTGAATGATCCTCATACAGGAAGCGGGGCAGAAAAGGAGCAGCTAGCCAGGTGCAAGAGTGGTGGTTGAGTGCCTTCGCTCACCTCATGGTGTGTAAACAACCACCCCAAGGTCCCGTGGCTTAAAGCAGTAGCCCTTTGTCTTTCTCTGGATTCCAGTTAGGAGGATGGTGTGTGAATCTGTCCAGGCAGACATCTTTGGGAGCTAGAACAGTTGGGCTAGTTTGTCACCACTGTCGGACTGGTCTAGGCATATTCTTGTAGCAGCTGGCAGAAGGCAACAAATGGAAAAGTGTCAGGTGCTCTGACTCAAGGTCAACACATTGCAGCCACCCAATGAGATCACAGAGATCACTGTTTAGGAGCAAAGGGGAAGAGAACCCTGCTCCTGAGGGGAGGGCTGCCTGTGTCCCTGACCCAGGACAATGTGAAGAAGGCTAGACCAGTCTGTATAGAGCTCAGTGGTGACACACAAGGAGGCCTGGCTTTCTGGAGTCTGCATCTAACCCAGAGCCAAAGCAGCCACCTTTACTCCTGTGATCTCAGTCAACTCAGAGGGGAAAAGAATGGAGCCGAGTCCACTCCCTCGAAGCAGCTGGAGCTCGAGGATTGACTTTTCCCTGGGCCTCAGAGTCTTCTTGAGATCACAGTGGGACTGAGAGGACTTTATCAAACCACATGAAGCACCGTGTGCATGGGAGGCCAAGAAGCAGTCACTGCCTTTCCTGAGTTCTGGCTTTGGTCCTGTCCTGCTTCTCATCCTGTGCTCAGGGGTAAGGCACATTACTTCAGCCACATGAAGTTTGGGTAGGTGACAGTAAAACCTGCCCAGGTTCATAGTTTGGTTTTTGTCTGCTGTCTGCCTCTGTCTAGGGGTTTGCAGTTCAGTGCCCAGGGCCTTCAGGAGGGCTTGTGGTGAGGAACCTCCCTTCTCATCGCACTTAGCACTGCTGGGTTTGTGGGACCGGCTGAGTCACCTCTGCCCTACCACACAGATAGCCTGCTTCCCCAGAAGGCACCTCTAGCAAGCTCCCTCCACAGACCTTGCAGAGCTTGATTTTAGACAATCCTAGTCCTTACACACACACACACATAGAAGAATTTCTCCTTATTCCTTCTAAGCTGTTAGTGGAGGACTATGGGTGGATTGGGCTGTATGCTACAGAATTGCAGACAAGGGCATTTTCTTAGGTTTGGGTCTGAGTGTGTCACTGCTGTGGAATGTTGAGGCATCTCACATTTGTGACTCTGTATTCTTAGCTCCAGCTCCAGGAAGGAATCCAAGGGTCCACACTAAAAGAATATGTCACTTCAATGAAAGGGAAGAGTCTCAGGAGCCATGAGGAATGGCTGAAATGCTTAGAGTGTGTGTCAGTGAGAGGTCGAACCCCGTGGAGTGATTTAGTGTCTTGCCACCTCTACACAGTCTCTGGGTAGTTCTAAGAGGAGCTTAGACAAGGATTTCCACTGTGCAATCAGAGCAGGTGTGGGTTAGCTACAAGGAAGAAAATGGGCAACCACATACCTGGGAGCAGTCATGGCTCAGTAGGGGGTCAGATAAGCTGAGGGACTGGCCAAGGCAAGGTGTGAGTGACACCTGGAGTCACAGCAGAAAGACATGGGGGGAAAGAGAAGTTGGTTAGTAGGTAGCTTAAAGGACAGTTGTGTCTGAAAGACAGGTAAACATGTTTCGAAGCAGGGCTTTGCTTCAGGGCTGGGGGCCAGGAGCCATTCTGAAGAGCCATTTAGAGCGTGAGCACTGGGACTGGGCTCACAGGACCCAAGAGAGTGCAGTTCTAGCTGTCCTGGGACTCCTCAGGGCCACACCCAGTAAAAGTAGGTCCCAGCCGTCCTTTGTTGAGCAGGGCCCTTGGTATTGACTGAGCCTTGGGAGTTGGTCCTTAGGAAGGCTACAGCCTGCCTACAGCATCCCATGTTTTTCTGATGTGGATTTCACTCCCGAAGACTTGAATAGCAGCCGAGAAAATTGTATCTACAAGGTCATTTAAACTTGCTTGGTAAGAAAGGCACTAAACAAATGCAGGGGAGACTAAAGAAAGAAAGATGAGAGGCCAGGAGTAGCCTTTGCTGAGGCCCAGGAGGCTGCTGCCTGGCCCTCCTAACCATGCCCTCATCTCACCACAGGCCTGCTGTCTCCATGTATAAGATGTGTCCTCCCTGCCTTCCCCAAGCTGCCAAGCCACTTGAGCCTTCAGGTGCTGTACCAGGCACTTCTTCCTGTCCTAGACTCTACCTCCATGGCTTTCCAGGTTCTGCCACCCTGTGGGCTACTTTGGGTGTCCTCACTGTTGCTTAGCTCTGGAACTGCTCACCCTACTCCCAGCTCCCCCACACCTGTGTCCCAGCTGTCCTGTTGCATGTCTCTTCTTTGTTGTGAACAGTATGAGTTGGGTCTATATGTATATTGCCCTTGAGCAACAGTGACAGCATTCAGGCTCTGATGGCCTGTGGAGTGGGCAGTAGAGAACCGCCTCCCCATCCCCCAGACTGTCTTGGGCCGCCTTTCTTTACTAGCAGCCATGCTAGATGCTGCCACCAAGAGACCTGTTGGGATGCTAGACTGTGGGCAGGTTTTCTTCTCATCCAATTCTGGATAAGTAAAATAGCTAGCTGATTCCATTTTGAGAGCTTATGTTTAAATGCCCATAGTGATGCTTATGATTTAAAACAAAAATCTTTGTGAACTATGAAAGCTAAATGTAGCAAGGTTGTGGTGATATACACCTTTAATCCCAGTACTCTAGAGGCAGAGACAGGTAGTTCTCTATGAGTTCAAGCCAGCATAGTCTACAGAGCAAGTTGTAGGACTACACAGAGACACCCAGGGCTACACAGAGACACCCAGGGCTATACAGAGAAACTTATCTTGAATCCCTCATACACACACCCCAAAAAAGAAAGCTAAGTGTATGTCACCATGGACCCCAGTGTTTTGAAAAGGGCTATACAGTAGCTACTGTCTCATTCTGGGATCAGACAGTCCTTCTTTCTCTGAGCTGCTAGATCCAGGCTTTGAGGCATCGCACATGTGTCCTTCAGAAGACCTAGGCCTCATATAAACGTTTGGTTTATGTGCTGTGGCCAAGATACAGCCAGAGCCCCCTTCTGAGATATAGGACTGGCTCTTTTTTTTTTTTTCTGGTTTTTTGAGACAGAGTTTCTCTGTGTAGTCCTGGCTGACCGGGAACTCACTCTGTAGACCAGGCTGGCAGGACTGGCTCCTTAACTCCACCAATGTGCCCATGTCTCTCCTGGCCATGAACTATCCCTGAAAATTCACTCAAAAGCTACCACAGACACCATGGGCATACCACCTGTAAAAACCAAGCAGGAACCAGGGAGAGAGAGAGAGAATAGGGGAGTAAGGTGGACAGGAAAGGGGTGTCCATGACAGGGCATGAAGATAGGCTCAGGCAGCTTGGTGTCACTCTAGCCACCCTTACTTGGTCCCTGCCATCTTATCTTTACTCACTTCTTGGCCTAAGCAAAGCCAACTCACACACAGGAGTGGAAGGGATGTGGGGTGGGGGTAGAGGGATAAGACCCAATGGCCCAGGGCCAAAGAGGTGTTGCTCAGGACCTGCTGGCTTGTTCCCTGGGCTTGCCTGTCTTCCTGGGTTTCCATGAAAGATTTCCTGCATTGTTAGTTAACACCAGGAGGATTTCCCTTATAGGGGAGGAAGTGCCTGTTCTGTGAAAAGCCACTTTATAGACCTCTGTCTACTACCTGGAGTTTGCCAGCACATGTCCCAGGGTCCCTAACTACTTTTATGCAGACTTTGTCTACCACTAGGCTCTGAGTTCCAAGCCAGTGTGTAGCAGGTAGTGAGTGAGTATCCTTTCCTGACTCACTTCACTGTTTCTCCTCCTTGGGTCTGCGATGGCTCCATGAACACCCTGTATACCCCATGTTCATCATCCACACAGCCCCCAGCTCCTTGCACTGATCAAAGCCTTTCACCTGGAGCTGGGACATCTCTCCCTCTGCTGCTTTAGTCATGCCCTGCTTTGCTCACCAGCGTCCTACTTCTGTGGTGAAATGTTCCATCCCTGCAGCCACATGGTCTTCTGAGGCTCTAGTCAGCCCTTGAAATAAGCCATGGGCCCTGCATTAACTCACTGTATGCTTATGGAAAGCCCAGGCTGCTGCAGGCCTGCACTGCCTAACTGAGTACACAGACAGACTGGACCCCGCTCTTGCACCTCACTGCAAAGCCTCCTGGAAAAGTAGATGTACACTGCACACCAACACTTCTCCCCCTGAGGAGAGGGAAGGCAAGGGCGGGACAAGGCTGCTTCACCATGCTGGGAACAAGGGAGTGGAGTGGAGCTTGACTTGGAGCCAGAAGTCAGTGCTCCTTGCCCGTGGGCCTTCACAAACTGTGCTTCTGAGGTAGCCACACACATGCCCCACTAGAATATCTAGGCTTACAAGTCTGTGATGGAGTATTTTCCCCACCCAGGATATGGATACACCAAGGCAAAAAAGCTAAGTTATCTGCTTCTAGTGTCAAGCTAGAGCCAGGGTTAGAACCCAGATCCATCTGTCATAAAGAGTACACCATTAAGTTGACCTTTATGAGCAATTACATGGCCAAATAAATACTGAGATCCAGTGTAGCTGATCAGAGCTGCCTCTTGGCTGGCCTTGGAGAGGTGTGCGTGTGTGCAAGCATGTTTGTCCTTTATGTTGTCAAGCATTGCTAAAGGTAGCTACCAAATCTAAGGAGAGTTCTAAAGATATGTTAGAGGCCATCAGGTTGCCAAAGCCTCAGGCACATGAGAATAGTTTCACCAGATTGCTGGCTTGAGCACAGCCCTCTTCTAGTCTGTACCGTGTCTTTCTTAGGGCTCAGGCCATTCAGGTTGTCCTCTCATGACACACAGCACCGTGAGATGCACTGGGGTTTAGGAAGCTATGTGGCAGAAGAAGGGATTATGGGGGGTGGGGCAGGGATGGGGAGGAGTTGTGTCACAGTGTCAGGAGCATGGCACAGGAGAGGCTACAATTCTGTTCTTTTATGTCCTTGTTTCTAGTGTTTTCAAAATAAATGCACCAAGAATATGTTTTACCACAGAGAGGGTGTTTGGACATGGTGATGCTAAGTCACCCTTTTTGGTAAGGTCAGTGCTTATGTCACTCTCAGGTGACCTGCAGAAGTGCTGCTCCCTGTGGAATAAAGACAGGTCCCATGACTGGAAGCTCACAGCATCTGTCTCTGAATCTACCACTTGGCTTTGAAAGCCTGCATTTGTCATTTGTAAAATGTAGTTCCTATAATTAGCAGAAGAGCCTCAAACAAGAGAGCTGCCCCTAGATAAGACAGCTCCAAAGTGGGCACTGGTAAGTGGGATGAGGGGACAGAGGAAAAGACAGGAGGAGTGGGAGCAGTATTACCCAGGACCCTCCCTGCCCACCCTGGGCATGGTCATACCCAACTCCAAAGGACCGTAGATGTCTCCCCAGGTGACTGTTGGGAACTCTGAAGCTTAACTTCTTACCTGGACTGCTGCTGCTAGCCACCCTGTTGAAGGCAGGTGCTCTGCTGACAGGGCCAGGACTGAGCACAGCACTAGGGAGAGTTCAAGTGAAGACTCTCAAATCATGAAGATAACTTCCTATGACTAAGTTTAGTGGCCTTTTGAGAAAGCAGTGGTGTGGTGTCTTATCCATATTTCTTTTTATGTTTCCTTTCTTGTTTTTGTTTGTTTTTTTGTTTTGTTTTGTTTTGGGGGGCATGGTACTCTGTGTAGCCCTGGCTGTCCAGCAACTCATTCTGTAGACCAGGCTGGCCTGGAACTCAAGAGATCTGCCTGCTTCCCAAGTGCTGGAACTAAAGACATGCGCCACCACCACCACCACTACTACCCAGCTCATATCCCTATTCCTAAGAGCATCTAAACTTAACCATCCTTGTGCAGTGCAGGGTGACCGTCTCTGAAGGCTTCCCTCACAGTCAGCACACACCATCTTCTTTTGCTGTCATCCAACTGGGAGCTGCAGGCTGGATTAGATCCTCAGTACTAATGTGCAGGCCACCCCTCAAACCCTAGCAGCCTGGCCACCCGGGGAGTTAAACCGAGTAGCCAGGAAATCAGCTCTGCTTCCCTGCCAAGGCAGCACAGGCCCCGTCCCCTGGAAACTTTATGCCAAGACTAACAGAGAAAGTCTCACTGGAGCTTGGCCAACATCAGGTAACTCTGCCTTTAATTAATTAGCTTCAAGCAAACAGAGGTTGCCCATCAGCCTTTACTATTTTTTTACTCCAAAAATTGGTTGTTCTTCTAGGCTTATCTTTTCAGAAGAGCCAACTCTGTTTCCATCTTTCCTGCCTAACAGAGAGCTCTGCTCTCTGTATCCATCCCTAGCTTGCACAACCTGCCCAGTGTCATAATAGTGCTCGGCTGAGGATATCCCTCTCCCCCTAATCAGATTAGGACAAATAGGTGAAGGCCAGTTTCTCAGATCTAAGTGTGATACAGGCCACCCTGTGCCACCCCCCAGCAGCACAGGATGTTAAGATGAGTCTCTGTTCCTTCAGTCAGAAAGATTGTAGCAGCGCTCTGTACATCACTGCCCAGGCCAGCCTTCCAGTGTCCCTGGCAGATACTCTGCCTGACACTGGAGCCAGCGCCTCTCTCCTGGTGCTCATTTGCTCTGGTACCACTATACCCCTTCCCCCAGAACCCCCAACCCAAACAGCATCTCTCAGGCTATAAATACAAATTCCTGCTGCACAGGGAATCTCAAAAACAAAACCAAACACTCCCCAGATCCAAAAATAGACTCCAGGCTGCTGTGGGGCTGACGGCTCTGAGATGGCCATCTGTGCGCTGCTCCAAATCCTGGGGGTGAGCATGATCCTGAAGGGCCTGACAGAATCAGGGCCTGTGGGAACAGCCCTTCCCCGGTTCCCAGCACAGTTTCTGGTATCAGGAGAGCCACCCAGAGCAGCCCAGGGCCAGTGGTGTTTATGGTGATTGGAGAGCCTTCCCTGGCACCTCCCTCCCTTGGAAAGGTACATTTCAAGCTTGGCTCTTGTCCTAGCACGACTGCATAACTGGAATGCCTGAGGAGGCTAGGAGCAGGGCCTGAAAGGGAGGGGAATACCCAGGCTCCTTTGTCCCAGTTGCACACTGCGCCAGCCTCTTCCTTTCCATTGACTCATTGCCACTCATAGCTGAGGTGCTGCTGTCACAGGCCTGGCAATGGTCTGCACACCTTAATAATAGGACCAGGCAATGTGTGACACCCCTGTCAGCCCAGCCTGAGCAACATCAAAGGATCCTTTCTCAAAGAATAAAAATAGCAGCTGAAGAGGTGGCTCAGCAGTTTAGAACACTTGTTACTCTTGCAAAAGACCTGGGTTGGAATCCCAACACCCACATGGTGGCTCACAACTGTCCATAATTCCAGGGAATCTGACCCCTCTTCTGGCCTCTGCAGGCAAACACTCATACATATAAAATAAAATCTCAAAAAAAAAAAAAACCAAACATGAAACTATTTAAGATAAATATTTAGGTAAGTAAGTAAAACCAAACCAACATCTGGGTGTGATGGTGCACAGCTACACTCACAAAACTGAGACAAGATTATAGGTTTGAGGCCATCCTGGCCTACATAGCCTGACCCTGTTTCAAAGGAAATTATACCTGTGGCTGACAAGACAGCTCAGTAGTAGCCATACATGGTGGCGCACACCTTTAATCCCAGCACTCGGGAGGCAGAGGCACCAGATCTCTGAGTTCAAGACAAACTTAGTCTGCATAGTGAGTTCCAGGCCATTGAAGACTATAGTGAAATCATGTCTCCCTGTCCCTCTACCTCAGAAAACAAGGTGGCTAAACAAATCAGCTAAAGGTGCTGACTTGCATCCTAGGACCCACATGGTGGAGGGAGAGAACCAATTCCAACCTCCAAATACACAGTGGCATGCTCATATTTATACACACAGATAAGGAAATGAATGAATTTTTAAGTTTCTTTTAAAATTATAGTAAATTTTTTCCTAGGCATCTCTTGATCTAGCCAATAGTGTTGCCTCCTGTGCAGAACCTCCTCTGCTCTTACGGGGTAGAGAAGGACAGCTAGTGTCAGATATGGGCCTCTTGCAGTAGCCATGCTGAGCACTGGTAGGACACTATCATACTGACAACTACAACTGTCCTCTGAAAGAATGACTGTCCTTTCCACCCCGTGAGGGTGGGCTGTCTTTTGAGACAAGGTTTCCTATGTAGCCCTGGTTGGCCTGAAACTCACTATGTAGATCAGACTAATCTGAAACAGATACACCTGCCTCTGCCTCGTGAGTGCTGGGATTAAAGATGTATGCCACCATGCCTGGCACAATAAACGAGTAACCCGGGCTAGCCTCAAACTGGTGATCTTCCTACCTCAACCTCCTTTAATAAATCTTACTGATGTACACCACCACAATCAGCTTACCCCATTTTAAAGATGAAGACACTCATCCGCAAGAACTTATTTGTCCAGCGTCACACAGAGGGAAAAGTAACAAGGTGTAGATGCTTTGGGTGGAGAAAGGGAAGTCAGGGGATCTGCAGCCTGTGTTGAGAATCCACAGCTGACCAGATTCAGAGAGAATAAGGCAGCTCTGCGAGCTAGGCTCCACAGCAGTGCCAGCAGCTGGACGACACGTGATAAGTACAGCCTGTGCTGGGTGGGCATTTCTAACTTAAACCCTTAACATCTCCATTCAGTTGAAAACTTCATTTCTCCTTTTTCTTATTTCTGTGGGTTCTGACACTCTGTACCACAGAAAAGTCCAGAGCACTTGAGTGATCTGTGTACGTGTTTCAGTTGGCATCTATGAGAGGCACATGAGGATGACAGGAATACTATGTGTGCATCCTCACTGTCCTCCCAGGCCCTGTGGTGGTTAGCAGTATGTTGGCAAGCCTCTAGCAGACATGATGGCATGAAACACCTCTCAGCTTGGGGACTTGGAGTGTCCTCCTTGGGCTCAGAAGCTATAAAGACTTAGGGACACCTCTCAGTCTGCCATCTGACTTTTCTGTCGAATGAAAAGTAGGAGAAGTCATGCCTGTGGCTCTGGGGTAACATCAGAAGGGTTTTAAAATCACTGCATTTTTTAAAAAGAAAAAAGAAAAGGAGCCAGAAGGGAAGGGAAGGGAGATGCTGAAACTCCTCCAGTCATTTTTGAGGCTCCTGCCCTTTCCTAAAAGGGCCTGAGACACATTTGATATCTAAAAGATGGTATGTTTGTCTTTCAAGGGGTAAACTAGAGTTGTCCAGAAGATTCCAAATGAATAAATATCGGTGACTTGGCGTTCAGCCCTGAGGCTCCTGAGACATCGGGTGGTAGAGGTTCCTTTCCACATCAGAGGAACATGTAGTGATCAGCATTGAGACTGGGAGGGAATCCAGTTATATCCTGCTGTCCAGATAGTCCTGTCAGCCTACAGGTCCCTTTTGGAAAGCAGTATAGTCATGGAAGTCTGTAAGGGGTTGTCTGGCATGACTAGCAGCCCCCAGAAGGAAAGACAGGACACACCAACCATGCTGAGCCTCAGTTAACCTAACCACCTTTTCTCTTGTCTGTTTTCTCCTTCCCACATTCTTGTTTGTGTGTTTCTGCCTGGGTTCTGTAGTACAAATCTGTGTTTAGGTCTTACTCCCAGGACTTCATGCCTCACCACCAAGCCTCCGTCCAACCTTTCCTTCCGCCTACCTCCTCTTCCTCTCCACATTTTCCCCCTGTCCACGCGTCGCAGAGCTCGGACTTAGCGGTGCCCACCGTAAGCAGTCCGCCTCCCAGCACCGTGGACGGGCCTCTCTCGTCTGCTCAGGACAGCAGCTCTCACGGGAACCCTGTCCGCCTTCCTTCTGAAACCTCTTTCAGTGACTCGGTGAGAACTCAGCACACATCTGTGTGCGTCTGCACACTGGCCCGCAGGGTTTTAGAAAATGATGCCACTGCCAAGGGCCTTGTCCTCCCTCCTACGGCCCAGGCTGCTGCTGGTTTGAGGGCACTCAAACATGAGTAAATTGGCACCTATGGGGACCTCAAATGTAGTTCTGATTGATCCACCTGTTTCCAGAACAGAAACCAAATCTTTTGTATAGAACTCCTATCACACAGGGATTTGGGCTAGTGACCATTTAGAACAGTAAATTGTCACAAAGATGAGATAGAAAACACTATGAACTTTCTGTTGTGTGTCTGTGGAGAGGTCCAGACTCTTGTGGAGTGGAAGAAACAGAGGTAAGGTTGCTCTTCGGGCCCATGCAAGGGCCCCTGTGCTTCATCAGAACACAGGAAGGAACTGCATTACAGAGCGGAGGGGACAGATAGAGGGACAAAGAGGGTCTGACAGTTGGAGACATTTCCCACATCTTTAGCAGTCAAGTATGTCGCTTCTTGTCCCCTGCACTGGGAACCCATGCCTTGCTACAGGTTGGGGACCTCTGCAGGCCCTTTTATAAACTGGGGACCCTTACAGGCCCTGCTACAAGTGGAGCAACGTTCTGGAAGTTTCCAGAATGTCTCTAAATACTTTGAAGAAGATCCAGCAGGAGACTGGGCCCTGGCTAGCCCAGGAACAAGAGGTGCGAGAGGATAGCATCGTTGGCCTCCGCACTGGGGAGCACTTCCAGGGAAGACTGTGGGAGCTCTCTGGCCTAGCCCATTGTCTCTCCTCTTACCCTGTCTCCCCCAGAGTGAAAAGGCCAGCAGTGAGGAAGCTGGTGGGGGTGAATATGTCAATCTGTATTCCTCTGGACAGACCAGAGAGGAGCTGGTTCCCTCTCGAGGAGTAAGTAACCTCAGTGGGTGGCCTTGTACATGGGCCACCCACTGTCCCCCTCGAGGTTGCTTCTCTTGCAGCTACTTCTATTGGCTGAGCCCCATAGGCCTGCTGGAAGCCAACCCATCCTATGGGAGAGGACACGGCTTCCAGGTAGAGGTCTGCCCTGCTTTTGCTTCAGCGAGTTTGGCATTTTTCAGAACCTGGCTGAATGAGCGTCCTAGAAACCACTGGATCCTGGCCCAGCCCCAGCTGCTCCCTGGAATTTCTTCCCCTTCATCCCTCAGTGCTGATCCTTTCTTCCAAGAGATGCTTTTACTCCTGCCCTTCAGTTCTTCCCAGCATGCCCTGCTGCCCTCAGCTACTCCCAAGGAAGCAGGGCAGGTGATAGGTGCCCTGCTGGATATGCACACTTGTCCCTCTTGAGAGCAGACTCTTGCTGATTATGGAGGTCCATGCCTGGATTATGCTGCTGTCCAGATTGTGGCCTCACAGTACAAACCTTCTACTGAGCAGGCACCTTTCCAAATTTGGCTTCAGCAAAACGGGCAAATGAGAGATTTCAGGTCACTGTCCCATGAGACTGAATGAGACGTTCCTGTAGAAGATGAAGTCCGAGGCCATTGTCCCCAGGAGACTGAATGAGAAGTTCTAGGGGATAAAGTCAGGTCATCAAGGACAAGGAATCAGTGCCCTGGCAAGCCCAGCCTGAACATTGTGGCCATCCTATAAATAGTCACACCATGATTCCCTAGGGCTTTCAGATGTCTGTGTCAAGGCAGCCACCCCTACACACACACACACACACACACACACACACACACACACCCCTTAGACGTAAGCACAACATAAGGTTCCCTCCAGTGAGATTTGGTCCTGTTTGGGAGAGCTAAGCCAGTATCCCCACCCACTGGTGACCTGTGTCACCGGCAGCACCAAACTCAGGGAGTCAATGCCCAGGCCCCACAGCCCTCTCTGCCCTGCAGTGCCAGCCCCACTGTTCTGTCCCTAGTGACAGTCCCTGGACTCACAAGGACTTTTTCTTCACCACCACCTCCAGGACATCATAGCCCAGAAACATCATAGAGTTGTGTTGTCAGTGGGTACAGAGGCAGCAAGTCTGCTCAAACAGGTCACATTTGTGAGTTTGGGCAGGTAGGCTTCTGAACTGGACTGTCACTGGTTAAGGGCTGTAACCCTGAAGACTAAGAAGTCTCTGAAGTTTGGGTACAGTGGTTAAAGATACAAGCTTTGGAGGCAGATAGCCTCTCCTAAGAGTTCAGGTCTACTGTCTGCATTAGGTGTCCTGGCAGTCAGTTTTCTGTAGGAATGGAGGCATGGGAGCTTATTGGAGAGAGTGAAGGGGAGGTGTGCAGAGTACTCAGTACAGCACCCACACGCCTGCAGACAGGGTACAGTATCTGTACCTAGGCTGATAGGAGAGAAATGTTAGAAGGAATGGTACCTCCCCTCTCTCCAAAGGCAGATGTTGGTCTCCAGAGGGCTTATGTTTCTAGTAATTAACCCCATCGTCATTAGCTTGCTCCCACTGCCAGCTGCTCCATAGTGCTGAGACAGACCACCCCAGCATAGGTCATCTGTCCAAATGCCACCATTCCTTCTCTTGACAGGAACTGCCGTCTGGAAAGGATGGACATCTCAGAGATCCTTCAGTCGGCAGTGCATCTGGGAGGGACAGCAGAGGAAACGGGGAGAGGTAAGACATGAGCAGGAAGTGCTGAGCTCCATGAGCAGTGGCTGCTCATCGTTCTCATCTTCAAACTTGTGTTCAGGGTGGAGACGACAAGGAAACTGAACAGTCACTAATAAGCTGGCCTCTAATTTGCAATGTGCAGTGTGCCTTCCTGCTGACACCTGTGCTGTCTACTGTCCCATACATAGGAAGTGTAAAAGACCTTCTCACCCACAAACCTGTCACTGTGGACATTTCTAGTCGTAAATATATATGTTGTGTTGCTAAGCTATTTTGAAAGGAGCTTACAGGTGTTGTGGCCCTCAGCCCCAGATAGCCATCATACCTTCCTGAGGGGTGGAAACAGTGATCACATCATTTTCACACCTGAGACAGAAAAGGTTTCCTCATGTAATCTGGAAAGCAGTCTCTCCATCTTCCCCCCTCTAGGGATTAACCTGAGACTTCACACATGCTGGACAAGTGCTGGATTCTGAGCTACAGCCCAGCCCCTCTTAGGTGTAGCTTACATAACATTTGAGTTTTAGCCAAGCAGTGGTGGTGCATGCCTTTAATCCCAGCACTTGGGAGGCAGAGGCAGAGGCAGAGGCAGGCAGCTTTTTGAGTTCGAGGCCAGCCTGGTCTACAGAGAGAGTTCCAGGACAGCCAGGGCTATACAGAGAAACTCTGTCTTGGAAAAAAAAAAATGGGTTTTATGAACCATAGATTTGCAGTGCCTTTAGACACCTTGTCCTTGTCTCTTCCCTTGTTCTCGGTGTATTCAGGCTTGCAGAAGGGTAGCTAATTCCTGGACCACTTAGTACAGGCTGGTGGAGCTGACAGTGAGCATCCCTACTGCTTACTGTTAATGCCACCTTCCTGTGAGATGCGCCAGCTACTCAGGCTTTTCCTTCCTTTAAGTTGAGAACTGGTCACCTGAGGCCTCACTAGTCTTAACACAGCAAAGTGACTTGTGGCTTATCAGTGTCAGGCCTGGGCAAGCACTAAGAGGGTCTTGGTTTTTGTTTTGTTTTTAAAAGACAAGAGAAGCAAAGACCTGCAAGCCTTGCATCTTGTCACTCTTGGATTCTCAGTGTCTGATGACTCCTCCAGGCTGGGTTGTCCTCAAATGTTAGTATAACACTTGGCCAGAAAGACTTGTATGTACCAGGCCAAAGCAGCCTGTGGATTCTGTCACCTGCTTCACTGCAATCAGGTGTCACGTTCAGAGTTCAGATGTTCAGGTTACCCACCTCCTGAGGGAGGGCTCTCGCAAGAGTTACTCTTGGAGCTCAGCTGATTTCTGATGGTGAACCGGTTAGAACGACCGAGCACACTGGTGGTTGGAAAGCTCCTGGGACACTGTCTCCCTTTCATAAAGGCCACCCCACTGGCTGGCCTCCTAAGGCAGCAGCAAAGCATGGCTCTTCCCAAGCCTGGGGGTATTAGCGCTAACCATGGTGTTCTTACTGAGGGTGCAGTCTCCTCCAGCTCAGCTACAAAGAAAATGTGCCCTAGGGACCAGAAAGAACCGCAGTGAACAAAGGCACTGCTGCCAAGGTGGGTCCCCAGGACCCGGTGTGCCAGGTGTACCGTGTGTGTGTGTGTGTGTGTGTGTGTGTGTGTGTGTGTGTGTGTGTGTGTGTGTTTAGTGTCCTTAGCCAGATGTTGTTCAGTGCTTTAAGTCTTTCTACCTAGAGCAAGGGCCCTCCCTCTTTCTCCAGTGCAATGGCTGCCTATGTTAAAAAGCCGTCTCTTGTGACATTGAGCACTGATGCCATGGGGCACCATTTGCTAGGCCACAGCGTTTTCTTACTGCTAAGCACGGGCTTTTGGGTAGAATGGAGGTACATGTAGCTTCCCTCCTTGCAGCCCTCTTACTGCACTTCCCTTCATATGCTGCCCTTGTGTGTCTGTGAAGGGGCTAGGCAAGGAATAGCTGAGGCCATTATTGAGCTCAGGGGACCATTTTCACCCAACAGCCTAGTCCTTTATCCCCAGGTCCAGAGAACAGAAGTGTCCCCAGGCAGAGCCAAGAGTCGAGTTGTCACTTGGCCCTGCCTGCAACTCCAGCTTCATATTATAGTTGCCATTCAGGGCTTGTCCACGAGCAGCTCTTATACCCTGGTCTATACTTAGGCAGATGTCTTAGTTACTTTTTCTGTTACCATGTTAACAGTAATGTAGGGAGAAAGGGTTTTTATTTTGGCTCACAGTTCAGTGTTAAGTCTGTAGTGATGGGAAAGTCACAGCAGCAGGAGCTTGAGGCACGTAGTCACTGAGTCCAGTCGAGAAGCCAAGAGCAATGACTGCTGGTGCTCAGCTCACTCTTTCCTTTTTAGACAATCCAAGACCCCAGCCCAGGGAATGGTGCTGCCCACAGTGAGTGGGTCTTCCTGCCCCTCCCAGCCTATCAGATGGTTACAGAGGCTTGACTCCTCTCGGGTCTCACTAAGTTGACAATTAAGATTAACCATCACCTGAGGCACCTTGAGGTTGCCTCAACCACAAGGCCTCCAGGGACCAGGAAACCTGAGGCATGTCTGACACCTTCAGCACTAACCATTCTTCCTCTCAGGTCCCCAAAGTCACTGGATGGTCTGGAGTCAGCCCAGGCAGAAGAGGAAGTGGATGAACTGTCTCTCATTGACCACAATGAAATTATGGCCAGGCTAACACTCAAGCAAGAGGTGAGCATTCCCCAGACCTGGATCTTATAACCACCAACCAAGAGGGAAGGGAGAGTAGAGAAATGTGCCCTTGGGTGTTCAGTCAGGAGACCTCAGCTCTTGGGCTCCCAGCTAAAAAGGGATCAGGGGAAGCTCACTGTCCCTTTCTTGCCAGAAGTGAACTTGGCCCTTGCAAAGCCTCTCTGAACCCCATGCAGGTACTTCTGAAGGCAGTGCAAAGGAAACACCCAGCAGTGCTTGGTGTAGTCTGCACAGGAAGCCCTCCGCATTGTAAAGCATGTATGTGCTGTTAGTAACACAGCCCCTCCCCTTTCTGTTAAGAAAACAGGGGCCTAGATGCCGAGCTGTGCCTCGTTTGAGGAGCCCTATTGATAAGAACAACACCCAGACATGTCATGAGAGAAGAAGCTGGCCCCAAAGAACCTTGTCTCTTCTCTGTGCAGTTCTAAGAACTGAGGGTTTAATGGGACATCTTGGCTCCTGAGTAGCCCTGCGTCTTGGAACTGGTTTGATGGTTGTAACATACGGACATAGGAAAGGTGCTGCCCTATGCGTGTTCCTGGGTCATCCTGAGTGGCTTCCTAGCAACCTGGGAAGACGTCAGCACTTTAGGCTGCTGGTAGGGTTAGCAGAATCTAGGCAGAGCCTGTGCAGAAAGAAAAGCTAAATTCCTTCTGGAAAATCAGGTCATTAACATAGCCAACTTTGTCCCAGGTGGGAAACCCAGAACACTAAGAACTCTGAAGTCCAGATGGAAATGGCAATCCATGGGATGTGCAGATAGGATATTAGCTCTGTCTCCCTCAGAGTCCCAGCCCCACCTACAGCTCTTGTCACTGGACCAGATTACAGCTTGTTTGCCTGTGGAAATAGAGTTGGGCTCCCCTGGCAGGCTGGGTTTGGTTGCCGTGTAAACATCCTCTGTCATGAGCAATCTTGTGATGTTTTACACTCTTCTGAAGTCCTTCCAAGAACAGCCTGTGGGGTATGTCCCCGCAGCTGAGTCCTGCTTGTGCTTTGGAAAGGGACTAAGCCCAAAGGTAGCTTCCTGGAGGTGTGGAGAGAAACATGCCTGGACACCATCTTCCGTCTCCTAGGATTAGGGGCTGCCTTTCTCCTCTGGAATCTCACATTTCAGTATGAGCCAGGAGGTGGTTTCAGTATGAGCCAGGTAGGGTTGAGACCTCAGTTCCCTGACTCCATTTGGCCTCTGGAAGGTGATGTACTCTGGTGCTCACAGCATCTGGACAGCTTCCTCGATGCCCAATTTTCTGTAAGAGTTCTGACCAGTGCCAATCTACAGAATCCATGGGAGCCAGTGGGCTGCAGACGCTCTCTGGTATGCACAGTGCTACCTGCTGCTGCTGCTGAGCTAGGAGATCAGAAGGAACTTGGGGACCCTGGAGCATGGTGAGCTTATCACCTCAGCCTTGTCTTCTGCTCTTTTACTCCAGGGTGATGATGGGCCAGATGTTCGTGGAGGTTCAGGAAACATCTTACTGGTCCATGCTACTGAGACAGACAGAAAAGGTATGGCAGCTCCCACTATGTTGGATTTGTGTCCCACCAAAGGTATCACATGACCACACTATACTGTCATCTCTCCTGGGTTGAACTTTGGACCTGATGGTACTAGGGAAGAGTAGGGAGAGGCTGGCTCCGGAGACCCTGATCCTGTCCAAACTTGTACCTGGGTATGTTCTCTCTTGGTGCAAGACACTGATGCTCTTGGCCCTCTGGGTATCCTGAGGGTGGGGATAGTCAGTGGTACCTACTGTATGCTCCAAGGGCAGCCCACTGGATAATGACATGTTTAACTGTGGTATTAAAGTTAAAGCAGCCACAGTGTTACACACTTATGATCCTAACACTCAGGAGGCTGACGTAAGTGAGTGTGCATTTAGACCCTTTCTTTTAAAAATAACATCTTTTACAAACATGACCAGCCCCTTCTACCTTTCCTTATATTTAAGTCACTCTTTTCTTCAACATATTAAGTTCACATAGTTAACTAACAAGTTCCTAGGAACAAAATTTGTTGTCCAAGACTTGCCCCCACCTTGCCATCCTGCCTGCATCCCAATCGTCTGAGCTGGCAGGGAAGCAGAGGCCATGCATGCCTAGACTGCGAGCACTTGTTAGGTGGGCTGTGCCAGCAAAAGAACCATCCAGCCATAAAGTTCTGTAAAGGAAGACACTGGGCTCCAGTGAGCTGGTCTCAGAGGAAGGCACCAGTGGCCCAGGTCAGGCGTGGTCTGCTGCTGCCCCGCCTCCAGGAGGCTGCTGAGCCAACCTCATGTCACAGCCAGCTGCTTGTTAGTGTCCTTTTTCTTTCTTGTCTTCTTTGAGACAGTGTATGTATTTCATGGGCCCTCTTTCTACACATTTTTAAAGGATTTTAAAAGGGCAGAACATACTCACACATGCCTTTGATCTCAGAATCTGGGAAGCAGGCAAATCTGTGAGGTTCCAGGGCTGTGTGGAGAGAGTGCTGTAGAACAGCAGCAAACAGAGCTAGGGCTGTGACTTCCTGAGAAAGCACTTACTTGACAAGCCATGGATGAGGCACTGGAATCAATCCCCAGCACTTGGAGGCAGAGGCAGGCAGATCCCTGTGAGTTCAAGGCCAGCCTGGCCTACAGAGTGAGTTTTAGGACAGCCAGGGCTACACAGAGAAACCCTGTTTCAAAAAAAAAAAAAAATTAAAAGAAAAGAAATTCTGAAAAGTTGATTGAACTGTAGGTAAAATTACTCTAGACTTAAAACCCTAACCCAATCAGCTTTGAGTTTGTTTGTTTGTTTGTTTGTTTGTTTTAAATGACTAGGACCCAAAGTAAATATAAAATTCTATGAAATTATGAATTAAGAGACTAGTACAAAACCTGTTTGCCTGGCAGACTGAAAGAGGAAGATTTCATACAAACTTACCTTCATCTGAGCCCCCAGCGGTTCTTCACCCATGTCTTCCAGCCGTGACAGGAAGGCGGTCTCAGACACTCTGTTTGTAACCTACCAGAGCCTTGCAGCTATGGGACAGCCTTTCCTCTAGGGCCTTGGTCCCTGACCTGTTAGGGGCTGGAGGTACAGACAGTGCCCAGGGCTCGTCCAGTGGCACTTCAGGGCATCCTGGCAAAGTAGCCACTTTCACCTCATTTTTATCTGAAAGTGAAGGGCTAGGATGTGAGCTGCCTTTCTGGCCTGGTCATGTAAGGCTAGATCTTCTGTCCTGCCAGCTGCAGCTAGCTGGAGCAAGGGCAAAGGACTCTCTGACAGGGAGCCCATACGCCTCTGGTCTACCCATTGGGTCTGCTGAAGGGAGACTTTTGAACTGAAGTTTCAATTGGATTTGTGGTCCCTGCTGAACCATAATTGGCTTTACCTGGGAGACTTACCTGAAACAGAGTCTGTGAGCCACATCAGAGTGGACACGGTGCCCATGGCAGATGGCAAAATTCTTCAGGCATGTGGCTTCCTGCACCAGTGGTATATGAGTGACTCACAGGCCCTGGGAAGCTTCATGGCTCATATGTCTGTGACTCAGCTGTGACAAGCAGGTCCAAGCCAATTAGACAAGTAAGCAGGAAGAAATGTAATACTTATCATTACATAGCCTCTCTCTCAGGTGGCACTGTGAGAAGTGTGGGCAGAGCCAGGTAAGGGATGATGTTGGGCCCAGGCTCAGATCCTGTTCCTTCCTTGAGACCTGTGTGCTAGGTCCCCAAGCTTCCATTCCTCTGAAGGCCACTGGGGACAAAGGAACCTTAACCAAGACAGCCCTGTGAGCACTGTAGAGTTGGCTCAGGCTCCCACCCAAATCCCAGGTGATACCAAAGCCCACATATGCTCTAGCTTATGCAAAGAGCTCAAGTACCAGCAGGCCTAGGCTGTGTCCAGCATAGTTCAGCACAGCCATCCTTGAATCTGGCACCCACCACACACACACACACACACACACACACACACACACACACACACACAC